TGAGTTTGAGGTTGCTGTGAGCTGTGACACCACAGCATTCTACCAAGGGCGACAAAATGAGACTCTGTCTCAAAACAAAACAAAACAAAAAACCCCCTATCATCCTGATATTACAGAAGAAGAAACCGAGGCACAGAGAAGTTGAGAAATTTGCTCAGATTCACACTAGTGTGTGATTCAGTGCTGATCCACTCGGGTCTCTGAAACGCCACACTCCCTTTGCTGTTTCAGTTCTCTGTGTCATTAAAGAACTTCTCAGTTTGATCTAAGTTGTCAAATGTGTTGTCATAACTGTTCTTAGTTGGTAGTGACGTCCCCTCTTTCATTTCTTTTTTTGGCCAGGGCTGGGTTTGAACCCGCCATCTCCAGCACATGGGACCAGCGCCCTACCCTTTTGAGCCACAGGCGCCGCCCCCTCTTTCATTTCTAATACTGGTAATTAGTTTGCTCCCCTTTTTCTTGTTCATTCCAGGTAAAGACTTAAAAATATAAAATAAACCGTCGTGTAAACCAACTTTTGTTTTAATTGGCCTTTCTACTTTGGCCCACTTTTAATCTCATGGATTTTCACTCTTTTTTATGTCCTTTCCATTATATGTGCTTTGAGCTTATTTTAATCTTTTCTTTTAGCTTCTAAAAGAAGGTGGAATGCTTAGATGTTGATTTTAGAACTTTCTTTATATGATGATATAAGCTTTTTAAATCTCTCTAAACACTGCTTAACTGTGTCTCACAAATTCTGATGCTTTGCATTTTCATCAGCATTAAACTGGAAATATTTTCTGACTTCCTTGCAATTTCTTCTTTGAAATTACAGTGTCTTATTTAATTTCCAAGTAGATGGAGACTTTACAAAAGTGTTAATATTTTTATCCCTTAATAGTTTTACATTATCCTCAGAAAACACACTCCTTTTAGGGTTATTGAGATTTATTTTACAACCCACCATACAGTCTCTCTGTAATTCCCAAGTAATTGGAAAGAATATGTGTTCTCCCACCTTTTGACTTAGTGGCTCTGTCAGTTTTTACTTCATAATATTATAAATCTCTTATAAATTGGATACACATTTAGGACTGCTATTAATATATATTTATTGTGTCTGGATATTATGAAGTGACCCTTTTGTCATGAAACGTCCCTTTGTCTTTGGTAATGGCCTTATGCTGAAGTTCATTTTCATACAGCTTTTTAAAATTAATATCTGCGGCTCA